ACCATGGGAATTCTGAGTATTGTTCGAGCTGAATGCAGCTTCCATTGTTGGGCTCTGATTACAGCTTTTGTTTCACCATAAAGTACAGTTATTAAATGCCAGCAAGGAACAAAGATGTATTTACATGCCGGGGGTCGGTAAAAGCATGCTATTTTTAGAGCTGCCTCTGCAGTTCAGCTGGGGGTGGGACAGTTCTGCAGGATGGGGGCAACCTGGATGCTTACAGAAGAAAGCAAAATGTTTGTGAGACAGCCACTGGGGACCAAAAACGATGACGCCATCTGAGTCCTGCCATAGTTTACTTTTGTCAATCTGTTTATTTTATTTCTGTGGGCAGGAACAAGGGCCAGGATACATTTAGGAGACAGCACAAAGTCCCTCTTCCCAGCTGAGTCCTTCCCGAGTCCCTCCAAAGCAGTCCTTCTGCTTCTCCGACACCAGATCCCCCTGGCCTTGCTCGATAGCTATGCCAAATTCCCCCAAGATCCTAGATGGTAGTCCCACTCCAGTCATCCCAATATGTGTGAAAGTTTACAGCAGTCAAGGAAATTTAGACTCTGCGCACTGCCCTAGCCAGAGACCATGAGTGTGTGATTGCCTTTCTTGGTCAACCAGGCTCAGGAATTGAGCTACATTGCTTAATCTGATTGCTGACGTTCTATGTTCCAGAGTTTGCATGCCCTATTTCATTTAAGACTCAAGATGAAGCTCTAAAGTAATCAATTGCATTTCCATTTTACAGATAAGCAAATGGTCAAGCTGAGAGAGGAAGGTAATGGGCCCACGGTCAACCAGCTGGTTATTGCAGAAGTACTGGGCCCTTACCTTTTCTTGGGATGAGGCCCATGACTGCCAGGAGCTCACAGTGAAACCTATGACTTCTGTCTTTCTCTCAGGGGTCAGAGTGTGGCACACTGTCAACCCTGCAGAACAACTGACACATTTGCCATTCTGGTTGAATGTTAATAACCCCTTCTGGTAAATGGTGAGATGGATGAGGGAAGCTGGTGGCTTTTGACTGAAGGAGGAATTCTGCTGCAGGTGGACAGGTAAGTAGCAGGTCTGAGGAGGAAGTTCAAAAGGTCAAGAAGCTTTGAAGGCAAGGTGGAATTGTCCCCAGAACCTCCCTCTGCTTTGTCTTCAAAAAATCTTCACCCTCTTCAGCACAGCAATTAGCAACAGAGCTGTAGCCCTGGATGATCACCCTGACTTTTGAAAGCCTTTTGTGTCAAGTTTGAATGATGGTGGAGCAGGAGTGCTCATGTTTGGATGATAACAGGCGATCTGTGCTCCACAACTGTAGGCCTTAGCAGCGTCTCTGGACTGACCATATATTTGCCAAATATGGTTGGAGTAATTAGAGTATGACCTCAGAAGATATACGATTGCTGGGCATTTTTAGGGTCCCCATGATGTTCAGTGGTTTGATATCAGGATATTCAGGGTTAGGCTCCTTTCCTTGGTGCCTGCTTCTGCCCTTTACAGGTCTTGGGGGCTATTCTATCCCCTGACTCCCGCTTTGTTTTGCCTTTTACATTCCTGGAATTTGCCCTATTTGCTGACCTGTTTGGAAGACCTATTCTTGCACTTTAGAAAATACAACACAGAGGTGGTTCTCTTTCCTGAGAAAGGAGCATGTCACCAGGGATGCAAGAAAGATTCAGAAGGATACTGTGGGCTTTTCATTTGTAGCCTGGGCAAGTTCCTTCCTGTGGCCTGCTCTGGGTAATTACCAAGTACCACCCTCACTATCTTTATGTCATTCCCAGGTATACGGGAGGGGCCCAGGAGCCTCCCAATGCCAGCCACAGGACCAAGCCCCTGATTCCCTCCCCCGGCACTGGTTCAATGTTTACACCAAGAAATAAAGAAAAATTGTTTTGAACTCTGCTGGGTAGCACACAGAAGAACCAAACTAGGTCACAGAGTGTTTAGTTCATCTTAATGCTTGTACTATATAGGTTCTCATTTCTAGGAAGGTATGGGCTTACTTCTGGAATTGCCCCTTCTGTTTGACTTTGGATCTTACCCTATCCATAAAAGGGGGGTTGTGGCAGCCATCATTCGGCAGATGTTTCTTTTGAAGGCATTCAGAGGACAGAAATGAGCAAAACAGATAAAAATCGCTGTCTCCATGTAACCGACATTCTGTGGCACAAGCAGAAAATAAGATAAATAAGATCAAAGTTCATAAAAATCTATATCTGTCTTTATTTTCTATCTCCCTCCCTATCTCTATCATCTTTATCTATCTCTATCTCTATATCTGTCTCTGTTAAGGAGAAATAAATAAAGCAGAGAAGATGTAGAGTATCTACGAAAGTGGGAGGTCAAATACTGTACTAGGGAAGTGACCTGTGCTCAGTAACATTCTGTGTATCTTTTAGTAAATCGCATGGCTTCTGTACACTGCTGTACTTTATTTTGTCAATGGGGCTGAAGTCTTTTGGCAAAACATGGCTCAAGACAAAGCATGTAGACAGATATTAAGCAGTACTTTTGGCACTTGGGGGCTGAGGTAGGAGGACTGCTGTGAGGAAGATGTTTCAAAGGCAATTTTTAGAACCTTGAATTCAGATTCCTCTTTTTTCTTCAGATGACAAAGATCCATGGAATATTCCAGGATGCCTCAGCGCTTTCACTGTGTCTTCAGTATTCTTGGTTTGTTCTCAGACTGTAATTTCAACAGGGGAATATTCCACATACTTTTTTTTTTTTCCTTAAATAACACTAAAGTACTGTTATATAATAAGCTTCACCATCAAAAAAAAAAAAAAAAGCTGAAGAAAAGCAAACAGTTCCCTTCCCTCCTCCTCCTCCTGGTGCTTCCTGGCTGATCAGAAGCTATCAAGTTCTCGTTCTAGCCCAGCCGCAAAGTATCCCTGGGACTAACTTACTGTGTGTCTCTGGGCAGAGCGCACTACCCTTTGGCTTCCTCCATCCTGCACAGATTTGGCTCTCAAAGCCAGCCCTCCACAGAAGAGAAAAAAGCAACTTTACCCTGTCAGCTTTGTCAAATTGTAATAATGATCAGGAGACTTAATCCAGGTGAGAGGGAGTCAGAGACTGTCACTCACCCCAGTGGTTTCTGGTTTCACAGTCAAGATTTTTAGGTCAAATTAAAGATGCTAAATTTGAATTTGAATTTTAGATAAGTGGAAATGTGTGTTACATATGTCTCAAATAGCCCCCTGAGAATCTTTGAGGGCCCTAAATATGAGAAACGAGAGACTCTTTCTAGATCTTTAAGCCAGGGAAGTCCAAAACTCAAATGCCTAGAAGGATCAGACAGGTGACATTTGTTTTTCTTTTTTTGAGGAATCAGGGATTGAACTCAGGCCCTTGTGCTTGCTGGGGAAGCGCTTATTCTACTGAGCCATCTCCCTGGCCCTTGGATATATATAT